CATATGCTTTTTGCAATAGTAATGTAGCCTACTTTCTAACGTAACCCCATGAATTTTATTAGCGTCCTAAGTGTAAAGTACATTTGTCCAGCAGGTGGTGCTTACTTTGGGAGTCAAGGATGCCAGCGCACTTCCTCTATGACTTTCCTCCTGCGGTTCTAGTAGGCCATTAGAACCGCAGGAGGAAAGCCATAGACAGTTTATTCTTACCCTAAGTCTCTACCTCCCGTTTACGGGTTAAGGCGATAAACCAGATAGCCATCCAACGCAAAACCTGATGTGTGTGTATATACAGTATACACTCACCGGCCACTTTATTAGGTACACCTGTTCAATTTTCATGTTTATACAAGTAGCTAATCAGCCAATCACATGGCAGAAACTTAATGCATTTAGGCAAGTTCAAACTGAGCACCAGAATGGGGAAGAGGGGGACTTTGGAACGTGGCATGGTTGTTGGTGCCAAACGGGCTGGTCTGAGAATATCAGAAACTGCTGATCTACTGGGATTTTCATGCACAACCATCTCAAGGGTTTACAGAGAATGGTCCGAAAAAGAGAAAATATCCAGTGAGCGGCAGTTGTGAGGACAAAAATGCTTTGTCGATGTTAGAGGTCAGAGGAGAATGGGAAGACTGGTTTGAGATGACAGTAAGATAACAGTAACTCAAATAACCACTGCATGATGCTATCATGTGATGCTATCAAGCCCTTTATGAAGCTCACCAGGAGAACCACGCCTGGCAGGACAGATAGACAGCCTCTTGCAGAGTAACAACAAGGCCCATAATGATAAAGTAAAATTAAGTTGGCTGGAGGGGCTTTTGAGGATCAAGGAGAAGCAAGACCATCACAAGTTATGCATCACAGATAACCTAGCTCCAGAACGTCTTTGATACCGGGTGGACCAAGTGAATTTCATCCAGCACATGAGCCAGATGGTGTATGACACTCTGGCAGCAAAATTGGGGAAGAGAATAAAAAAACTCTCAGAGCAGCTGTGGAGCAGAGAAGCTGCATTCATCCAGGCCGAGAAAAAATGTGTGAGGCTAAATACAATGCTCTGGAGAAGAAGTATAGCAAGGAGCTTGCTGAGAGAGAACAAAGCTGGGAGACCAGAGTACAACAGGTGGAGGAAGGAAAGAAAGAACTGGCTGAGGAAGACCACAGCTGGAAAATAACTGTAATAGAGGTAGAGGAAGAGAAAGAAGAATTGGAAGACCTCTGAACATGAAGAAGGTGAGGTTTCTGGTCTTGCAAGAAGGTGAGTAAGAGTAAAATAAAATAACACATAAAGTGATCAAAAATAGAAAAGAATGAGAAGAAGATGAAGAAAACGAAGGAAAAGGATCAGAAGATGGAAAAGAATACATATTTTTGACCTGGATGCACAGGAAGAAGTGTGACAGCTGCAGTGAGGTAGAGGAGAAGGCTGCTGGATGTTAAGCTCAGGCTGAACAACAGTCGCAAAACCCCATTTGTCTCCTTCACCCACACCCGCTTACCATCCTGCCATTACTGCCTCCACCCCGCAGCCTCACAGAAACACCTCCACTTTGTTTCTGTTCTGTGGTCCTCCCTGTGTCTGTGTGGGTTTTCTCCTGGGGCACCAGTTTACTCCCACAGTGCAAATACATACATTTTAGGCTCAGTGGAAACTCTAAATTTACCCAAAATACAATAAAAATCAAATACGCTGAAATAAAAAATTGTAAAAAAGTACAAGTACTGGTGTCTGTCATCAGTGCAATTGATTTAGCAAATAATGTACAGCAATGTATCATATTCTATAAGATCATTATATGTTTGTAGTGTTGTGTCCTGTGAGAACCAACTTTTTCTGAAAAGTCAACTTGTATTGCATTCCAGTTGATCCAAGGGAGGTTTTAATTGTTTATTTAGCTTAAGGAGGAGGAGAATCTTCTCAACCCGTGAAGAAACATGTCATCCTTCAGTTTTTCACAAACATTTAACATCACAACATCTGGAGATGCATGGTTTTCACTGGACAGAAACAGGATGAAAAGTAACTAGTAACTAAAGCTTTCAGACAAATGTAGTGTGGTAAAAAGTACAATATTTGCCTCTGATATGTTGACGTGTAGTTGTATAAAATAGAAACACTCAAATCAAATCTGTACTTAGTACAGTACTTAAAAATGTATAAGTAAATGTACTTGTTATATTTCACCACTGCAGTTTTCCGATATTAGTGGGTGAACTGTTTTCCCTCTTGAAAAATGCTGTCAGGATTAGTAGGCTATACATTGACACATCATATTTTGAGTTGGATGGCTGTTTGGTTTATTGCCTGAACCCCTGAAATGTTGATAGGTACTTATATCTTATACATAATAAAGCCCATCCTCACCAAAAAAATGGTCATACACGTCAGTTGTGCTTATTATTGACCTATATTTCTGTTTTTTCATAGGCTGCGACCTCCAGTGCCGGTGACAGTCACAAAGGAAGAAGTCTCGTGGCGTAGTATGAAGAGTGACAATGTCCTTGTAAGGAGGTGACTGGGGTGGATGGATGTGTCAAATAAATTTCAATCAGGAGACTGAGGTTCCTGTGCGAAAGAAGTTTTGTTGCCTAAACCAAACCGAACTACGTCAAATGACTTAGGTCACATGACTTACGTATCCAACAAAGGTTAAAATCACGGGCTACTGGACTTGGTTGAAGATACTGGAAGACGTTTCGTCCCTCATCCAAAGGACTTCTTCAGTTCCGACTGACTGGCAGGGAAACTCAGCTATTTAACCTCAGTGGGGTCGTTGGCCCGGGTCATCGATAATGCTGGTTCGTTAGTGTTCCTGGTTGCTGTAACGACAGTCGTTACAGTCGTTAGGACTACCGGTGGCCAAGACTGAACGACCATCGTTGGTATCTTCACCTGAGGCCAATAGGTTACGTTTGTTGAGTTTCCTGGGAAGTGATGAAAGGACAGCATTGTTAATGGGGGATAAGTGGTGGCGTAGACCCCCTCCCCTGTTCAATGACGGCTTCTCAACCCTGGTGTAGATGGCTTCCTTGACACCTCTTTCAAACCATCCATCTTCTCTGTCTAAAATGTGCACCTGGTGGTCCTCAAACGAGTGTCCTCTGTCCTTCAGATGTAAGTAGACTGCAGAGTCTTGACCTGAGGAGTTGGCCCTTCTGTGTTGAGCCATGCGTTTGTGTAGTGGTTGTTTAGTCTCCCCAATATACAGGTCTGTGCATTCCTCACTGCATTGGACCGCATACACTAGATTGCTTTTCTTGTGTTTGGGTGTGCAGTCTTTGGGGTGTACCAGCATCTGTCTTAGTGTGTTCTTGGGTTTAAAAAACACAGGGATGTTATGTTTGTTGAAAATCCTCCTGAGTTTCTCTGATACTCCAGACACGTATGGAATCACAATGTTGTTGCGTTTGACCTTCTTTTCCTCCTCCCCTGTAGTTTTGTTCTTCTTGGATCTTGTGGCTGTTTTCACAAAGGTCCATTTAGGGTATCCACAGGCTGTAAGTTCCCCCTTCAGGTGTTTCTGTTCCTTCTCTCTGGCTTGGGCGCTTGTTGGTGTGTTTTCCGCTCTGTGGTGCAGTGTTCTCATGACCCCTAGCTTGTGCTCCAGTGGGTGGTATGAATTGAAGAGTAGGTATTGGTCTGTGTGTGTGGGTTTTCTGTAAACACCAATCTGCAGGCTCCTGTCCTCTTCAATGTGTACAGCGCAGTCCAGGAAGGCCAAACTGTTGTTGTGAACATCTTCTTCTTGCACTTCCTGACCAGATCTGTAAATTACTCAACCTCTGTCTAAACACCACCTACTTCCAGTACAACAGTGGATTCTACAGACAGAAGTATGGCTGTGCCATGGGCTCACCGGTATCCCCAATTGTGGCAAACATCTACATGGAAGAAGTGGAGAACAAAGCCCTCAACTCCTTCAGAGGAACAGCACCGAGCCACTGGTACAGATATGTGGACGACACCTGGGTCAAAATTAAAAGCCGGGAAGTGCAAGCCTTCACAGAACACATCAACTCTGTGGACAGTAACATCAAGTTCACACGAGAAGATGTTCACAACAACAGTTTGGCCTTCCTGGACTGCGCTGTACACATTGAACACCCTGATGTTGTGAACATCTTCTCGTGTGAACTTGATGTTACTGTCCACAGAGTTGATGTGTTCTGTGAAGGGACGAAACGTCTTCCAGTATCTTCAACCAAGTCCAGTTGCCCTTGACTTTAACCTTCGTTGGATAACTATGACCTGGATGACTGAGAATCTTCATAGACATGACTTACGTAACATACTTAAGGTCCAGATACCTGTTGCTGGACTGGTACTTGCCAACACTTATACATGTTGCTTTGGGACAACTGAAAATCAACTTATTTTGTTGTTTAGGTATGAGAACATGTTGTTTTATACATAGGCTAAGCAAAAACTCTCTATGGCTAGTCTATTTGTTAGAGGAGTCTCAAATTTCTACTGCAGAATCATTATAAATTAGTAAAGAATTAAAAATCAACAAGACTAAGGGCGCACTCTAACTTGGCAATCCGTACCGTGCCCGAGCACGTTTAACCCCCAAAGTCTGGTTCGTTCATAGAATGTTTATTTGTCGTCAATGATGCGACAATTGTGACAAGCTGAAAAAGCTAAAGGTTCAGTATCTGAAGGTACGGGATGCACTCTGTAAATCTGGTAGCTCACTGGATGAAATGGATAAATTCCAGTGGTACGAAGCCGTCAACAAAATAATCAGCCTTTAACCTAGCAGCAAACCTAATGTTTTGGAGTCGCAATCGGGAACACTATCAGCACCACTTGATGAGGTTATGGAGGACATTGGACCGGCGAGCCCACTGGACAGTGAGTAGCCAAACGGTAGCATATGCTAGCTCTTATTTGACGGCTATGCTGATGCTCAGTCATTCAAGATCTGCACATAATGGTATATGGTCTTTGCCTGAGATTGTCAAAATGAGCTGATTTTTACATAAACAACTTGTTTTTTTATATGTTGCTTTAATTTTGATAGTCATATCACACACTGCAGTTCAGTCAGACACTGGTGATGAGACACAGGCTGAGACCTCTGATAGTAGTACACCTGATAGAGCTCCCCCAGAGCAGAGCAGGAAGAGGAAGAGAAAGACAGATGTGAGTGACATGATGGTGGCCTTTAAGAACATGCAAAAGCAAAAACATGAAGAATTTATGCAAAGGGAGCAGCTGCGTCACCAGCAAGAGAAGGAGATGCTCAAAAACCGGATGAAGGCACAAATGGAGATGGAGGAGCATCAACAACAGTTACAGAAGAAGGAACACCAAGCGGCAAACAGGATATTGAGTAGACTCCAGCAGATCTACTCCTGCAAACCTCTCTGTGATATTAGGGAACAGTGTACTACTCTGAGCCCTCTCGTACAAGGTTGAATTGCCGAACACTCTGGCATCATGGACTTTGCCCAGCCAACCCACATTGATGTCCCAGAATCTAAGTTGATGGTCCACCACACCTTGCCGGATGACAGAATGGAAGCCTTTACAATTGTAGTAGTCTGCAGGGCTGTCAACTGGAACTAAAATGCCAATATGAGTCCCATCAATAGCCCTTCCGCATTGCGGGAAACTCCACCGGTCTCGGAAACCTTGAATAATAATCTTGAATTCTTGTTCAGAGGGTATTCTGATGTTGTTCACAGTTACAGAGGCAACCTGATTGGCTATAGTGACGGCAATAGACTGGCCAATCCCAAATAAATGGGAGATGGTTCTGAACACCTCATTTGTAGCCAGTCTCCAGATGCCCACCTCCACTCGGTGCTCCACAGGCACTGGTTTCCTAAATGTAGTTGTCTCTCTTTGAAGGTGTGGCTGGATGATGTTGCACAACTGCAAGAATGGGATCTTTCTCATTCTAAAATTTGCCTTCCATTCATAATCTTTCCAGCTGGTGACGACATGCTCCCATCACACACTGGATCTCTGCTGAATCCAGATGCTCCTGAGGCAGAATGGAGAAGACATGTTTTATTGTTGATTTTGAGCTATAATAAAACAAACGAGAGGATTGTGCCATATGCTAAATTCAGTTTTTGGATTTGGTGATTGGCAGAGGGCTATATCTAATATCTGGCATATTACACATACAATGTATGTATATATGATGTGTAGGAGTGCTCGCGACACTATCTGCACTGTACAGGGATCGTGAGATGCCACATAATTTATTACATGACTATTTCTGTAGAAACATAAACCCCTCCAAGCGAAAACTCTAAGTGGGTGTTAAATGGACCCTGACTGTCACCATTACATGTTCTATTACTGCTTGGATAGTACATTTTAAATTAATTAATTAATTGGGTAAATAATGGGAATGGTTCTTATCTCATTGATGAATGTGAATTGTAGTCAGCCAGTAAAGCTAATGTGCAGCATGATGAACTGAAATTCTATCTAGTCTATAAGGCATCTGAGAGGGCCGTGGGTCATTGCACCAAAAAGTAATCCAAAAAAGCCACAAAGTCATGCACTCCATTTTGCGGCAGAAAAGAGCGCTTTTCTTCCACACAACTAACATTTGACGCATCGTGATGACGTAAGCATGTAAACATGTGAGGGCTCGGTTCATTAGGCACAATGTGAGCGCAGGCCAGCAGGGGAGTGGGGAGGGAGGGCAGTCATGCCCAGGAAAGGTACAAGGCAACCGGGCATAGTATGTGTACACCCTAAGAGTCTACAGCCACAGTAGTGGCTCAGGAGGCTAACCTTAATGTTAACTCCAACATGCTCACAATGACAATAATAATATGCTGTTTTGCAGGTGTTCACCATCTTAGTTTACCATGTTGGCATGCTTTTTATTTGCTAATTACCAATAAAAAACCAAAGTATTGCTAAGGCTGATGGTAATGTTATTTATTTTACAGGTATCTGGTCATTAACCAAATTTCCAATTATGATTTAAGTCATATTGTCCTTAGTTTCAGTAACAGTTGCCGAAATAGGAAAATATGTACATTATGCAAATATACCATATAAAATTACAACTAAAAAGCACTCAAATCAAGAGTTCAACCTTAAAGGTTCCATCAGCACTTCGAAATGTTAGAAAGACCAGTTCATGACCAACGTGGTCAAGGTACTTCAATCAGTTCAAACCAGCTGGAATTCACTGCAGCAATAGGAGCATGATTGCTGTGCCTGTTTGTTAGCAGAATATAGAACATTATAGGTTAATACACTTGCTGATATATTACAGGTTCTGACCTTTGGTACAGGCTCTGGGTGAGGTTGTCTGAAGCCACCACCATGAAGTGGCCTTCTAATAGGGCTAATTGCTGTTGAAATAATTAGGGATTTTAGAGGACAGAAAGCAATGCTGATCAGGCCAATTGTACATCCAAAATAATAATGATTACTTTTGGAGATCTATTAATGAAGGGTTTGTTCTGGAAGTCCAGAAATTACTGTCAAGCCTCCTGGAGGTGTTATAATTTATCCAAACATCTGTGATGGGAGGTAACCGCAATTATATACATTCCTGTAGTGTTTAGCTGGTGGGTGGATGATGCTGCCTTTTTGAAGATCCCGTAGATTTATGGCAGCATACCTTGTGTACTATGTAGTCACAAATTGTGGGTAAGCTCATCAATCTTATGCCATCTAAACTATGGCTCTGTTTGATTTCTTACCTTGGATTAAGGTACACAGGATAGCAACATCAAATCCTGTATGTTGGTGAATAGAAACATGCCACAATTTATTATTCTTTGTGCAGAACATTATTTAGCCAATTCTTCAGGTGTAACACAAATATAGTAGTGTAAAAGCAAAAAGCTCCACTTCTGAACAGCACCCGCTTTGATCAAGCAACATCAGCACATTGATGTTTACAAAATAAATGATAGTCCTCATTTTGCAGTTTTATGAAACGAGGCTACACAGATATTCTTTTAGCAAACAAGCTTTGAAACCAGCTTTTTAAAGATGCTTACTATCTTCTGTCTGTTTAGCCTTTGAAGAAAATTCTCATTAAAAAAAACAAACTCAATCTGCTATGTTCTTAAAGCTATGGACAGACCATTTTCCAAGCCTCTCCCCCGAACAATGATTGTTCAGTCATAGCTGAGCACCCATAACTAGGCACGGCAGGCCTGGAACACACTCCCAGTGAGCTGATGTCTTTTTCTTTAGTTTGTTTTTTGTCTAACCAGCTTATATAGGTAGATTGGCCCATTGTTTTTTTTTCTTAATTGACAATGGGCTGGCCCAATAACATCCTTAAACCCTTAAGTGTCTGGGCTCAAATATCTTCATTAAACAGGACAACTGCAAAAACAGAGTGCCGAATAGGATAGCACAGAGAAACTGGTGGTCAAAAGGAGCTAGGCTCTTTAGGCAGATGTCACTAAATGTGCAAAACCTACTGATAAGTATATGCTGCAGGACCTGTGGGTGATGATGGTAGTGGCGGTTACAGCGAGGAGGATGAGGAGAAGGAGAGCTTGCGGTAAGGGAAAGCTCACAATGGCTGGCTGCCCCGTTCGACAGTATGTAATACAGTTGGAAGGAGGAGAGGTGGCTGGCCATGGCCACTGCCAGGCAGAGGAGCAGGTGTGTGATAGGGAAGCTAAGGAACAGTGTGAGCAGGAGCAGAGCGTAGTTGAAACGGTAAGCTGGAATAGCGTACAGGAAAACAGGGACTCTCAGGGAGGGCGCAGGGAGATAATATACAGGGAGGTGTATAAGATTAATTCACTTAATGACAATGATAATAAGATAACATATTTATAACACTACCATAAAGTGAGACTTTAGCTAATGTTTGTGCTCACTCAGTCAGCCAATGTCAAATAACTTAGCATAAGCTATTTGACATCTTTTTTTTCTTTTGGTTATTCCGACCTCATGCGTTTAGGTGTAATTTACTTCCTGTCCTGTGTTGTTTTGTGTCTTGTCTGGCTTTGTTTCCTGTCAGTGTTGATTGTTTGATGGTTTTCATCTGTGCCTTGTTTGGCACCACTCCTTTTGTTTTGAATCATTGGTTTGGATATGTTGTCTTGTGACCCTGTCTGTTCGGTATTGTGTTTGGATTACTTACTTTTGGACATTGTTTATTTCGAAGACTGCCTGCTTCTTCACGCTTGTAAGTTTTACTCACCCTTTTTGTAAAAAACACTGACCTGAACCTGGGCCCTGTTTCAGAAAGCAGGCTTAACAAACTCTGACCTTAACCCTGAGATCTGAGTTGATTGAGCCTAAGGTGGGAAACTCCGAGTTCTTGGTTCCAGAACAGCTGATCAGTATTGGTTCACGGGAAGGGATGAAAAAAAGGCATCATCACCGATACTATGATTCACCATGGCAATTGGTAAATAAAGAGCAGAGCCTCCATTTTAATTGGGTAATATGAATGGGTGCCAACTCTGACCATTATAGGCTATTTATGTTAAAACGCAGGAGTGGAGGAAGGAGTCAATAAGTTAACACTATTACATTTTAAACAGAGTTGCTCATTTATCATTTACCTGACTGGAATTTCCCTAATGAATGATAAAGTGCTGGAATTCTCCTATAGCCCATTACATTTGAAATTTTTAAATAGGTAGGCTATTTTTGTTCATCTGTAACCTGATGGGAAAAGTGCAGCAGGAAATAACTTGAAAATGAAAATATGGATAAAACAGATATGACACTGTTTACTCATGCACCTGTGATTGTAAACAAACAGTCCGACCCAGTAGACTATTAATATTGTTTTTGCAGTGAAAAATGTATCTATAGTTTCAAATTGACTTTTAGATGTCTATTTCACATTACATAAAAATACAGCTCATTTTGTATTTAATAAAACATTGTTAAACACATTAAGACTATAAGCAGCTAATATTAAAAAATTCACTCAGAAATATTCACATCATCTCCAGCTTGATAACTAAGATAGCAATGTTTCAATCAGTGCAACTGATCACAACATGACATATGACTGTTCATTGATCAGTTACAGCTTTATAGGCCTACAGATCAGTTTGATTTAAACAGTGATTACAGTGTGTTTCAGTGCAACTGTTGCCAACCTGACAGCTCCACAGAGTCAAAAGAAGGACAGTGTTGCCTATAGATTTTATTCTGAGGATAAATCCACAATGTCCGGACATCACTGTACCTGTCCATACAACGATGACAGATTGGTCATGTTAAAGCAGTTTGGGTAACAAAGTAATTTCTAACCATGATTTTTGTATATTTTTTTAACATAACAAATAATATCAGTCCGTATGTGCTTTGATATCGACACAGTATGAATGAGGAAATGAAACCGTGTGTCAGACAGCCGCTTCAGGCTTCGCAGGAGGGGAGGAGTCAGAGAGAAACTCAGAATATGTTGAAGTAAACCTCCTCCTGAGGAGGTTAGGTTCACAGCATCAGTTGCCGGAGTTACTGATCCAGGGTTTGTCTGATCTTGGTCTCTGAAACAAAAAACCCAGAGTTTCCCTCATCTCAGGCTTTACATAGAGTTTTTACTAATCCCGCTTTCTTAAACAGGGCCCCGCTGGCTTTAATGTCTGTATTTTGGGCCCTACTCCTAGTTTTCCTGTGTAACACCGGGCAATCTTAACATATGGACACTAATGGATACATAGCCCTACTGTAATTTGTTTTTGGTTTTACTTGTTAGTGAACTGCTCTAAATATGTATCACAACAAAAGAAGATAAACTGGGACATTTTTGTGATGTTGCTACAAGGCTAGGAGCAGGGGAAATCTTGTAATAATGCGTAAATGCTCCAAAGCTGTTTTTTCTGTTCTCGCCATTCTGTCGATATGCAGCATAAACGTTACATTCATGAACAGATAAGGTTCATAGTGCTATATAATTAGTAATTGGAAATATGAGTTTCAACTTAATAATAATAAACTGAAAATACATAATTTATTGTGTGTTGAGCCGAGACTACTGAAATAAATGCCCTGTAAATCTCAATCATTGTACTCAGA